TTTTTTTTCAAACATACATAAATAATGCTAGTTTGCTTCTTCCAATTCAGAGTTCAGGGGAGTCAGTCCCTTTCCTGGCAAGAAATGGGTGTACCTCATATTTTAGCCTAAATGACAAACAAAAGTCTTGCACTTTGACAGTATCTCTTCAAATGAAAGCAGGGACATGTGAATTTGAAGCATTTCCCTACTTAACCTTTAGCAGCCTGTAGTAACAGTAATTGGAAAGTTTGCTGTCTTAATAAAAGAGAGTGCTCACTTTGTTTGGAAGTGCAAACATGCACTTTCCATTGGCTGCTTAATGTTATTGTCAAGAAAAGCTCTCCAGGTTGTAACACATGACTTTAGTCTATTACAATCATTAATAAGAAAACAATTGTAAAGTAATGGTTTGTAGGGAATTTAGGAATTGGAATGCCATTCATCAGGCTGGCTGTGGTCAGATTGACATATTATCTAGCAGTCTGTATACTTTCCTTGAAACTAAAAAGTTATTAAATGCAGATCATGCCAATTTTGGCAAGACATTTTGTTTTGCAATATGAATGGTGCTGTTTCTCAGTGCAGAGCCAATGGGCTTATAGTTACATTCTTAATTGTAATTATTCTGCAAAGTTTCCACTAAAGACACAGCAGTTTATTGCATACAAAACAATAATCCAGTCCCACAGATCTTTTTAGTTGTATAATTGATTTTTTATAAGGCCAAATGTCACATTCATTCAGTAAGTTATATTGGTTGCTTATGCATGACAGTGTAGACATTGCAATTATTTCTACATCATACATGAAAATGGCTTGAGAAGCTTTGTAATTTCATGAAAATGTCAATGATCCTGTCAAGACTTGTACAATTTCATTTTAGGGAAGCATATCCATTAACTCCAGCCTTTTCTGTTTTGTTTTTCAGATTGAATAAATGCTATCAAGAAAGCTCTTTTTTACTTATACAGTATATATTTATTTCAAATGGAGGAAAAAAATCTAAACATATCCTCCATAATGTAATATAAAATATAAGAGGAAGTGAGCTGAGATGCAGTTCCAAACACATACCATATTGTGAACAGCTGGCTCATATATTTCTGGAATATTAAAAAAATACAGCACCTTACTGCACACAGAATGCCGTACTGACAGACTCCCGCACCCTCATGTCAACATTGAGTGCACTTCTGTAACTGCAGTAATGCTGAAACAAGCTATGCAAATATAAAAATGGAGTGGAGACTTTGAACAGGTCCTGTTGTTTATTATTAAGCCGACTGAGTAGCAAGATCAGTAGGCAACAAGTTCAGTGCACCAAGTAGCAAATAAGAAGAGCTCAGCATGGTTCAGGGAGATTAAGTAGCACCCTGTTGTGAATGTCGTTGTGCAGACTGTAGGGATTGTGGGAGAGACTGCACTGTAGTGATGAGCCATAAAGATGACGTCAAACAAGAGCTACATACAGAGCTACAGAGCACCACAAAGAAAGATGGATGGGTGAATGGATCAATGGATGCATGAACTGCTTTGATCACAATGTTTTTTTTTTGGTTTGATGTTAGGCTTTTTTTAGCTACTGTATGTAAAATGTGCATGAAAGTGTATTTAATCTCAGACATCATTACAGTGTAGCAATGCCTTCAGATGTGATATTTCATCTTGCTCTCAAAAAACATCGCACTAGACTCAGAGAGAAGTGACAGATACAAATTTAAATGTGAAAACTGTCGCTTCTTCGAATAAATGTGAAGAACAATTTCGAACCAGAGAACCAGCTGTTGAGACTCATAGACTATCATTCAAACAGCCCACAGTATAATTTCTTGGATTATTTCTATTATGTGAATGTCAAGGTTTTCACTGAAATTGAAATTAGCACAGACCTTCACATTACTTCTGTTCATTTGTGTTTGAAATAATAATGTTAACAATTATACCCTGTTGTTCTGCTTTAAAAACCCATATGGTGTTTTGACTCAAAACAAAGCTTGCATCACAATCTTTGTTTAAAAACATTTAACAAGTGTCAAATTTAACATTTCTTTAAAGTTCTCTTAAAAAGTGTACCTGTTAGCATATAAAAAGACAAAACTGACATCCCCATTAGATCATGATTCAAATTGAAATGAACACTATTTACATGTCTCCTCTTTCAAAAGACCCCTGGAAATTCTATCAATGTTTCAGATGTGTGATCCTAACCTTTATTAGCAAGTCACAAAGATGAACAACCAAAAGACAATAGGTGCTTTGAAATAATTAGTCCATGACTAGAATTTCAACACATTTTTGCTTATATTAAAATAAATATACTATATTTATACCTTTTAAACTTTGTGCAGTGGATTCTGAATGATAAAGTGCTCTGGAGGAGGCCTACAGTTTCTCTACTTCCTTTTACCAGGAAATGTTAGTTTTGTAACATTTTACCTATCCCAGTGGTCGAAGCTGAAGTAGCTATGTATTATAAACACTATGAAAATTTGGTGAACTTCTATGTGCAGCAAAGATGTGCTTGAGTGGTCAAGCTGCAAAAGGGAAATTTAACCAGTTACCCTAACCTATGTTATTATCTGTGGCTCATACTGTTCGGTTAATGTAAAAGTATATTCTGACTAAGAAAGACATAGAAAATCCAATACAAACTTTTGGTGTAACATATTAAATAAACATAGAAGACCCAAAGAAAACTCTAACAGCTGAAACATGGTGTTTCTTTTCATCTCTTTTCAGCATGAAATAAACCTTTACTTGTTTCTTTGCAGCTTATGCATGCTGATGCAGCTACCTACTGTACGTGGAATACAATACGCCATTTTAAAAATATGTGTTCATGACTGTATGGCTTACAGTATGGCTTATACAGTTTACTGTATGGCTTATTAATGACAGTTCTATAATTCAGCCAGGCTGAAAGGCATCAATTTATTTACTGATGTTTTCTGTTCTGATAATGTAATGGTTGACAGTTACTATTATATGAGTGAACTATTTAATATTGCTAAATGTTAAACACCAGGTCGAGGAGTGACCAGCTTGTCACAGTATTGTTTCCATGTGTTTACCAGAAGCAAACAAGCATCATTTGTGAACAAGTATATTTGTCATCACTAATACCAAAAAATGAAGCCAATGGTGACCAGATATCTTACCTTTTTAGCTTCATACATATGCTTAACATTCTTTATTGAGTGTAGGAGAACATTACATATTTCTAAGGCTACAATGATTGCAGCAAATTATAGTACAGGTCTTCATTGGAAGCATTTTTAAATACAGTATTCTACAAGGCACTTTTAGCTCATACTAGCAATCACTTCAGTCAACTCTTGTAAGACAGCTAATTAGCCATTTTAATTTATTCATTATGTAATTCATCAACAGCAAAAACAGAATTTTAATACATAATTACATTCTAATTATTCTTCCAGCAGCAATATGTTCAGCTCATTCCCAAAAGAAGTTATTATTTACTAGGTTTTCTAAGCATACAAAAGCTCATAAATACTCCTTTAAGTATTAAATTTGGTGTTTTGGTGTAGCTCAAATATATACAATAAAGCATACACCCTAAAATATTGGAAGCATTGCTTTTAATTTCACATCTGTCTTTTTTATCCTGTACTGTTTTAGACAATATTGTAATGTACAATGGTGCCCTACATATGAAACAAAAGCAATGTTTTCTTCCAAAGATTAAATATATAGTATATAAATAGGTAGAGTAGAGAAGTTTATTGCCATATGTACATGTACATTGAATTCTTACAGTATTTGTGTTGTTCTCTTAGGACATGCACTGTACAGCTGACGACATACAGTAGACAGCATCACACAATGTAGACAGTACATTACAAAACAGTACATAATAAATAATAAATAAATAAATAAATAAATAAATAAATAAATAAATGAGACAGTGGAACTTGGCATTTGAAAACATTTTTACTTTTCTATTGACCTCAATCACACTATAATATATAGTATGAATTAAAATCATAATTAGCCACCTATTGTTCCTTCAATATGTTTTTAAAACTCAATACATCAATTTACTCAGTGATGTTCTGTATCATCTTGGAAATTTGGTGGATTGCTAATGACCTAGCTCACAACATGGCTTAATTTAGAATTCCTTTACGTAAAATATAATCATATCAGGATCCTGAAGCTATTATAAACAATATCTGATTTGGCTATTTCTGTCTGAAAAGGAAATATCCAGTTTGATCCATTGTAATGAATTAATATTTGTGTGTTTGCTCATGTTTTTTCAGTAGGATTTAGTCCATGAAAGTCTTACAAAATCAAAATATATACAGTAGTAATATTCAATATTGTTTTCAGTATATCACTCTAAGAGTTAATCACTCAAACAAGTAGCACTGTACTTGTTCCCAGCAATACACACATTGGAAGATACTGCTCATGTGGAAGACAAAATCTTTTTGTAGGAAAAACGAAATTGAGAGCAGATAAATTCAAAGCATGCAAATGTGAATTAAGATTTACACTCAGGTACCTTCTTTTGTTTATAGCCTAAAGAAAGTCAGATGAATTCTGACAACAAGGGGAAATGTTTTTAACGTTCTGATGAAACAATATGACTGTTTTTAGAGGTTTTGGTTCAGTTCCCCTTTGTAGCTCTGAGTCACACAATTTCACATTCCAGATCTAAATCCATTCCAGCTGAAAGACAGGGATTTGAAAAGTCAACACAGGGCACAGTAGTTCTAATCAAATCTGACCTTTGGCTCCAGGGAATGAAAGCAGAGCTGCATTGTCCCATTAATCTCATTTCACATCAATCTAAGAAGCTTTGGTATATGAATAGTGTACAGTATATAATAGGACAAATATAATGGGGAAATATATAATAAAATATAATAGTATATAATAGGGCAAATATGGCTCACAATATGGCTGTGTATTCTGTGGGTAACAAAGGCCTATCTCATTCTCTTTTTCAGGGAGTCAAATTCTAATGCACTTTTTCATTTTACTGTTTGCAGGTACACAAAGATGAAGACCGCGACCAACATATACATCTTTAACCTAGCCCTTGCCGATTCTCTGGTTCTCATCACATTACCTTTCCAAGGCACAGATGTTTTCCTGGGCTTCTGGCCATTTGGAAATGTGCTCTGCAAGATAGCTATCTCAATCGATTACTATAACATGTTCACCAGCACCTTCACCCTCACCATGATGAGTGTTGACCGTTACATTGCAGTCTGTCACCCTGTGAAAGCTCTTGACATGAGGACACCCCATAAAGCCAAAGTCATAAATATCTGCATCTGGGCCCTGGCCTCCGCAATTGGTATACCAGCCATGGTGATGGGTGCTGCAGAGGTTCAGCTCATTGGTATGTAATGACAGAAATGTCTTCTTTCTAAGTTAGTGCATTGAAAAAGCTGTTGTACTGTAAGTGAAAGATTATTACTTTAGCATGGTTTCCATTGCTATCCAAGTGATCATGGTTGAATATACCTTTAAAATTTTACACACAGCCCTTTTATAACATGCACATCTTGACAGAATATACAGTCATAACAAGTAGAATGAAATGCTGAAACCCCAGGATATTTTTTAAGTTGATGACTTAGGATCTTCAACAACACCTCTCAAAAACTGTATATTACAGAGATCACACACGCTGTGTACAGGACATTTTAATTTGCTGGAGGAACAAATTCAATTTTTGCTGGTTGTGTTAGAATTTTAGAATATTTATACGATAATGTACAAGCTCCAAGACATTTCTTTGGTGCATTTCTTAAAAACAGAAAAAAATAAAAAATCTTGATCTACAATATACTGTAAGCCATTGTAATCACAAATGTTTGACTTGACAAGGAAATTAATTTGATCAGGTGGTCCTTATTTGTACCGTATCTATTACAAATTAAATTCACATGTGAGCTTTCTTAGTACTAATTTATTGTGAACTTCACTGTTTTGTTTGATTTCACTGTGACATAAATCTGGTCACAGTGGATATGATATTGCATTATATAAAATATTTAATTCAGTGCATAAGGCTAAAATAATTCAACTGTGTCAGACATTTACCTCAATGTATTAAGAAAAGCAGTGGACCAGAAGAAAATATTTGTTAGATATTTCATATTCAGAAAGAGAAAAGAGACCAGTCTGAAAATGACTGGAAAAATGATTAAAACCTAAAAAGCTCTTAAAACTGCAAAGACAGACATGTAAAATTAATATTAACTTAAACATGATTGACAAGGCAAACCCCCAGAAAGAAAAATGTTTTTGTTGTGAACAACATACTGTACAATATCACCTGTCCAGGGTTCAGTCAAGTCTTTTTCTCTTGAAGATGAGTTAATGGTGGAATTTATTAAATAATGACTTTTTGTTAATACCGGTTAAATAAACTGGACAAAAAATACTTATAAAGAATTAATATAATTTGTGACCGATTGCAGTCATTCATTAGAAATAGTGGACTAAAATCTTTAAGCCTCATTCTGTCAGTAGTGTTTTCCAGAAAAAACTAGTTCTTTATTCATTTTTAATTAATGACACCTTAAGCTCTTTATTTCTTTTCTTGGAAGACAAATTAAAGTTAAAAGATTGAAATTAAGTTATGTTATTACATAAAAGTACAATTTTCAAAATATGAGATGTTTGCATGTGATTATATCATTTGTCTTCACACTTACTGACTGGCATCTACTGTACCTCGTGTCTTTTTTCATGAAAATTAATTTTAAGGAAAGAATGTCAAGATACTTGCTGCTGGTGTATTGTTGCAGTGTCAAATAATGTGTTTATTAGTTACTTGAGGCGTTAAAACATTTTCTTTTAACTTTTTATTTTCTTCTTAACTTTAATTTACCTCTAGGCAGGACTCTCATACTGTATGTAGAGGAATCCTCACTGAATTGAAAGCTGAAATTTCTGTTGTACATATTTAAGTTATTGTGATTTACTGTACATTGCCAGCTGTAATGAAGATCTTTTTCATAAGTGACAGAATAAAACTAAAAAACAGTTTATAATCCAGACCTTAATTTCTTTTCTGTTCTTTTATTCAGCCACTGAGTCATGCTAACTGTTGTGTATAATGGAAAATCATATTGCACTCCTTATATTATTAATATTGCCTTGGGTGTATCATTCATATTGCATATTGCCAACTAATGCTTAGATGAATGTTTGCCTCTTGAACCTGCATACTGACATCTTAGACTTGTCTTGCATTGATAACACAAAGAACTACTGTATAGGCAGGAAAGAAACATTATTTTTACAGGTGTAGTAAATTAACTACCATTCAAGCTGACATTAATAATGGCTGGACATAGCTTAACCTGTGCCTTAAAGAGAGAAAATTACATGAACTTTGTGTAATACAATATGATGGATGTATCAAACTGTAATGTGGTTTTACACTCAAAACTGTCAGGAGACCTGCCTTTTAGTGTAATGGATTTCACAAGTGCTGCATGGCTCTGTAGCTAAGGATCTGCGCCTGTGGCTGGAAGGTTACCAGTTCATATCCCAAAGCCGGCAGAGAAGTCCTACTCTGTTGGGCCCCTGAGCTAGGCCCTTAACCCCAACTGCTCCTTGGGTGCTGTATAAATGGCTGACCCTGCGCTCTAACCCCAAGCTTCTCTCTCCCTGCCTGTGTGTCTCATAGACAAATTCCTAATACAAGAAATTGTATATGGCCAATAAAGTGATCTTATCTTAAGGCAAGTGAATCAGGAGAGGCACCACAAAGGACACAGTAGCAATGATAAAAGTTTAAACTTTTTGCTCTAGGAATTAAACTGGATTAATGGTAATTTTTGAGTGATTTATAGTATAGAACATTTGTTTTCCAGCCTTTTATGAAGATTTCATGGGGAGCTTGGCTTTTTGAATTGACCTCATTGTGATTTTCTTTTTGTTTTATTGGTTTCTTGTTTCCCACAGGCATTGAGTGTATTATTGTCCTGCCTCATCCGGACAGCTACTGGGAACCTGTGTTCGGTACATGTGTCTTTCTCTTCTCCTTTGTCATTCCCGTGGCCATCATCACGATCTGCTACAGCCTGATGGTGAAGCGCTTGAGGAATGTGCGGGTGCTCTCTGGCTCCAAGGAGAAGGACCGGAATCTGCGCCGGATCACACGGATGGTCCTCATCGTGGTGGCCGTGTTTGTAGTCTGCTGGACCCCTGTCCAAATCATGGTGCTGGTCCAGTCTCTTGGCTTCATTCTGGACAATGAGCTCACTGTGGCCGTCATGCATTTCTGCATCGCCCTGGGCTACGTCAACAGCAGCCTGAATCCCGTCCTCTATGCTTTCTTGGATGAAAACTTCAAGCGGTGCTTCAGGGAGTTCTGCTACCCTTCCACTTTCCGCATGGAGCTACAGCAGTCCAGCAGGATGAGGAGCATCGCCAAAGAGGTGGCCTACAATTGCAAGAATGCAGATGGGACTAGTAATCCAGCATGACTAGGCGTGGAGCTGCCACTAGTCAGCATGCCCCAACCAAAGCCTGGCAATTCGAACGCTGAGCTTACCCAAATAACAGCCCTTTAGCATTCCTGTGTATTATACCACACTGAACACAAACACCATTGGGATAAAGGGGCTTTTTTGTAGTGGACAGAGATTTCACAGCTCTGATTTGAAAACAAAAATTAGAAGATGTATTTCATGGCCTTAATTATTCTGTTGTCTGTTAAATGAAGCCGGACCAGGGTGTTAAATTTGTCAATTGGTGCTTTTTGTTTCTAATGCCTAAAGAAATGTCATATTGTGAAAAGGACAATGAAACTTGGAGAATTTTATAGTTGTGCATTGGTGAAAAAAAGTGAGCGCTTCTGTTTTTGTTTTTCTTTTATGTCCTGTGAAGAAACAACAGAAAAAAAATCTGTTTTCAATGTGTGTATGGTAGCATTATTGGACAAGTTCTTGGAAAATATGGAACAATGTATGTGGCATAAAAACAAATGTGTGGTTCTATAGATGTACATAATTCTAGTCCCTGCATTTTAAAACACTATATCTACAATGTGCCTCTACATATTGCTGATTTGTTTTAATATCTGTTAGCAAAGAATATTGCATGTCATTTTACATTTTTGTAAACCTGATTGTTGTAATGTTGGACAGGAACAATGGGAAGGAAATTAATGGATGAATGGTTTGTTCATATACTGTACTCCCATTTGATATGCCAAAAGCTGCAAAAGTGTCCGTATATCTAAGATTGCATTTATTTCTTGTATGACTGATGACTTTATTATTAACTTAATAATTGACCGATTACATATCAGGCTTACAGAAAGTTTAGCATTAATTCTAAGCATATCTATTTTTTTTCTGCACATTAATTAAACAGCAGTCATTAAAATTATAAGTTGTAATCTTTCTTCTTTCCAATGATTCTCAATGTTTTTGTGTGCCTGTTACAGTATACTGTGATTTTTGCACTTTATAGACTTGCCTCTTTTCAGCTCTGATCTTTAAATGCTCAGTGTTTGAAAAGCTTGTTAAATTGTTCATTTAAACCTATTAAGTATTCAGTACAGAATGTGTATCCCACATCCCACTGGCTGAAAATAAATAGTACCTCCATGATGGGCTGAGATTCCAGCAGATTAATTTGTCTGCATTGAAAAAAGAATGTGAGCATCCGAATCAATAACCAATTTCAGAGGCAAGATTATGTAAGTCCACTGTGAAATATAGTTAGGGAAATGGGGTTAACACCACTACTCATACTTATAGTGCTATGGGCTCTTTAATGACCAGATAATCAGGACCTCAGCGTTTAACATGCTATTCCAAGGTGAATGCCTCTTATAGCACAATGTCAATACTGACCATGTCCAACCTGTAAACTGCCAAGATCAGATTATTATATGTTACAGAACACACATTTTTTGATAAGTAAAGGTGATTGAAGACTGTTGTATTTTAAAAGTTATTTTATATAGTACAATAATCAGTTTGATTATCATATTAAAGAAAACATAAGATATTGGATTCTGTAATTCTGTTTTATTTCTGCCAGCCTTGTATGGAAGCACTGAATAGTACTAGCAAGACAGGATATGAAAAGCCCTTGAGCTTAAAATCAAATTAAATAAAATAAGCATTCTGCATGTGAGGCTCTAATTTAATTAAAACCTATGCTGCCTTCCAAAAAGTTAAGTCCTTTCTGTGTAAATTAAAATTTAAAATTGATCCATCTTTTTCCTGATCCCACCACTGAAGCCAAAAGGCTATCGGCAGTCATTGATCTACAGCTCTCAGTGCGAGCCCAATAAAATACCACTTCCACCACTGAGAACTTTGACGTCTACACTCTTCACCTTTTCTTATTGGTATCATTTTGTTGATGTTCCTATCATTTTTATGGAAAAGCTATACGGTAGTTTAACATTAATCAATCTGTTGACTTTTACAGCACGAAGATATTGATTCTTTGGTCATGGACAATTAGTTTACGCCCTTATTTATATTTCCTAAACACTGTGTTTGCACCAGCCTATCGAAGAAGCATCTCTTCTTTCAGTCCATTCACAGGCATGCTGTATTCAGTGCTCTGCATTGAGGTTGAAACACTTGCCTTATTTAAAACTAAAAACAGAATATATCTGGGAGCTCACAGAAATAATGTAAGACAACAGAGCATATCTTAGACTGCTAAGTGAGTTCAGTTAAACCTGATAGCTGCATAAAGTTCATTTTCGGTTTCTTTTAGTAAAAAATAAAATGATAGAAACAGCTTGTAACTATTGTCTTATTGTTTCAACATCTATAAGTGTGCCATTCGTGCCTGCACTGCAAATGTTCCCTTCTCCAATTATAGAGCCAATAGCCTTAAATGGCGCTTTATAATCTGGGCAAATCTCTTTTTCATAGTATCTGTAAGAATAAGCAAGGAAAACCACACTGAGTTTCACTTGTGGGAGTGCATTCTGCCAGACCTCCTTTGTGTTGTTTGAGGTAGGCACACTCAATACGATGAACTCTGGTTACAGTAGATGGATGCAAATACAGACTGCAAATGGGCAGGGTGTGATATTTACTTCAGTATATAAGACATCACTAGAAAAAGAACATCTGCAAATGGGCTGTGATGGGGACACCTCTAATTGAGGAACATTGGTGCACCTGTGCCACCCTTAAAGGCACACAGAAACAAACAAGTTTGATTTCCTTGTGCTTTTATGTACTTTTACATTTGCATTAAAAGGGGGAAGAAAAATAACATTCGACTATAAGACATTTAAAAAACAGTTGTGTTATATGAATTATCTATTTTTCTTCCAAACATAGTTGTGAAAGTAGTTTCAGCCCTTAATAAAATAGAAGTTACTCTCCAGAGAATAAATATCATAATTCATTAGTACTTTTTTAAATTAACTTCTTAAATTAAAGAAGAAATGTTAACAGCATCACCCCTCTGCATATTGAAAACCTGTGTAAGGGCATCTGGATTAACAGAGAAAAAAATTACATTTTTTGAGCCCACATTTACATTTTTAAGTAAACATACATACCTTAAGATTATTGTGATCCGCAATAACGCATGTAAAAAAAGACAAATGTAGTATAATATTATTAGGATTTTCTAGACTACCTGAAAAAAAACTTTTTTGTAGCTATATTTTCTACATTGTTTTCTATTAATATTACGATGGACTAAAAGTGAGAAAATTCTTCAGTTTATATTTTGTATTTCTGTATTATACATTAGGAAAGCTACTAAACTGCTCTTAAACTTGCATTTTAATAAAAAGCAACATTAAATCCTTAAAAAAACCTAAAATACACATTTGTAAATTGTTTTCTGCTGTTGACGTATTTGATGTTTGCTGATTAAAAGTGTATTACAGTATACACAATGGCAAGGAACAAATCCCAGCCACGTGAAAGATATTATATCAAGTTATAACTTAAGCATCACATGTATGACTATGAATTAGAGTCAATAACCCATGGAGTTTTATGCTTTTCACTTAATTTGCAGGAAGCAACCTTGATGCAGTGCAATTACAGTTTGACTGACGTTTATTATTTATGAGCATGAGGTGTAAACTAGTAAGAAGATTTGATTGCTATCCCTGGGCAACAATAATGATCAAACAGTCTAGTAAATAACCAGGTCACATTCACCAACGTGTCAAATGCTCACTGGAATGGAAATGCAACAAAGAAATGTCAGTTGATATGATGAAAAAGGTATAAGAAATATATAAAGAAGTGTCTGTTTTACAAGACACACATTCTGTTTAACATAACCAAATGCATTGAATATTATTAATCACTCTCTACTTTTTCCTAATGAGGACATTTTAAATAAACCTGAGGCTTAAGGAATTACAGTGTGTTATTAAGAATGGTCCAAGTCTGGGAATACAATATACTGCTTCTGGAAATGAACAAGGAAAATAAGTTCAACCTCATTCCTACCCTTTCTCTTGGGTAGAAGGGCATGAGGATTTATAAGGGGATAAAATAATAATAACATTTCTTTTGTACAATCCAAGCAACTAAAGAATAGTAACAAGCCCCTCACCACTGTGTGCCAGGTCTTCAAGTAACGCATAATTACATTGAAATTGCTCTTGTCAAATCATGTAATATAGGATAGGTTAGGATGCCTGCAGCTGCTGTTTTCCCATGCTGATTTTTTTTTGTCATTGCTAGTCAAAACATTTGTCACTGTAGAAACAGCAATCATGATTTAGAGTCACTCACACATACTGTATACCACAGACACAGAGAAAAACCATGATTGCATATTTATGATTAATCGAATTATTTCTGTGCTGCAAATGTAGGGAAATGGAATTTCAATGAGAAGAATGAGTTTTTAAGAGCAAAATAATAAATAAATACTCCAGTTAAATGTATTTAAATAATATTTTTCATGCATATACAATATCCTGCATTTTTTTTTCTTTCATATTTAATCACAAGAAAGAAGACCTAATACCTTATAATTAGGACTAAACTAATTGAAACGAGATGCTGTGTTGCACTCTTTCTTCTTATCAAATATCAAATAAGCTTTATCCTTCATACGAAAAGTGTGGCCAAAGGTGATTATTAAGGGGAAACTAGAGTTGTAAACTTGTGTGCAGGCACACAGGCATCTTGCAAGATACAGGAGTATCTGTTGAGTCACAAGCTGAAGATATCCTGGCCATCTCAATACCACTGAAACCCTGGCTATGTTCTGCTGCTGTCGGGGTAAAACTAGTCACAGTCAGCTAATACCATATCTCAGACTTGATCTAGTGATGTTTGAATAAGCCCAATGTGAATATATTTAATGCAAATCTTCATAACCAACAACTTAATATATTAAGCAGCACATTGACCAGCACACACCTTCACTACATAACAAAAAAAGATATTGTGCAGTAGCTCTGGAATCAATCCAAAGCAGTGGAATCCAATTCATTCTGAGACAGAGAAACAGAGAAGACTAGGAGCGGACCTGTTTCAAGTATTCAAAATCCTCAAAGGCAGTGACAGACTTCTAAAAAAACAATAATGAAACACACACCAGAAGTCTCAAATCAAAACTGTGTAGAAGTTCAATTAAAATTGAAAACAAGAGGCACTTCATGCTTATGAGAGTCTGGAACAAGCTACCCTGTCATATTCTTGAAGCCAATATGCTGGCTTCTTTCGGGAAACTGATTTTTATGAGATCAATTAGCTACTAACAACCAGGCTAGATGGGCCAAGTGTCCTTTTCTCTTATGTCACATTCTTATGTTCTCATACCAATACTAGTTTAAGTCCATTTGTTTAATTGTTGATCATCAAGGAGGAGTGATGTTTTCTTTTCTTTTTTCTCTGAAGCATTATTATTAATTTCCATTTTTTGTTGACAAGAATCTAACTGAGCCCATGAAAGGAAATTTGAATCAGCGTACAGTTGTTGGCATACAGTAAACTGTAAGATTGGTAGCAGCTGATTTAAGGGTGGAAGGAAGACAGTGCAGCAGTGAAAGGAAACACAACATCTTATTGAAAAAGTATCATTCCTAAACTCCACTTAGACTTAATCCATGAATGTGACACTTCAAAAGACAGGTGGTGAGTTTTAATTGTTTTTTTTTTTTCATTAAACATGGAGACCAACCGAACTATTGAAAAACCTCATCAGCCTTCTTACTATAATAAAACACATCCAGGAAAGTGGTAGAACCCAATTAGGTTCATTTCTATTTTTCTATTTTACACTTGTTTATTTTATATCTGCCTAATTTGGAATCACCAGCAGGGTCCTTACATCTCAGCTTGTAGTGACAACCCCTGTTGCTGTGACCTCATGAATGAGAAGGTGCAGACAGGCTCCCCTATCAGGAGCCATTTCTCCTTCAATAG